GGGGGCAGGGAGAGGGGGGAGGTGGGGAGCGGAGAAGGCGGCGAGGGGCAGGGAGGGGAGAAACCAAGCGTAGGGGGGCGAGAAACGAGGGGCAGGGTGCGGATTGAGGAGGGGCAGGGAGTGGAGTGGGTTAGCGAGGGGAAGGAAGAGGCGTGCAGCAGAGGAGGGGAGGGGGGAGGCGAAGGTAAACGAGGGGAGGGCACGGGCGGGGAGGAGCGAATGGCGAGCGTGGGTAACGGCGAGGGGGCAGGGAGGGTCAAAAGAGGCGGCGAGGGAGCGGGCACGCGGAGGGTAGGGGCGGGGGAGCGGATGGCATGAGGGGGCAGGGGTGTGACTATGAAGGGGGGACCCGGGCAAGGGTGTGTACCGGTCGGGGCACGGGATTGTCGTGGTACGATCATACCTCGGCTACTACGCCGGATCCCATCAGAACTCCGAAGCTAAGCGCCGTGGGCGAGAGCAGTACTGGGCTGGGTGACCTCCCGGGAAGTCTCGTGTTGTACCCATTTATGCCCCTTGCTCGGCACGTGCCGGGGAGGGGCAAGCGGGAAAAAAAAGGACGATTTTAGCGCGTCCGACTTTTTTATTTCCGTTTTTTTGCCCGAACAACGAGTCAGCGGGGTGGGGGCCCCGGGGAGGCTTGCCCGCGCGAAGAAACGCCCCGTGCGCACCACCGTTGGGCGGTTGGAAGCCGCACACGGTCGCGGGGGTGGAGAGCGGAAACGGGCAGCCGGGGGAGGGTGGGGGCGGTTGGACGGGAGTGGGGTGTACGGGGGGCAGGGGAGTTGAGGGGGCAAGGGGAGGGGCAGCAACGGGCAGGGGCTGGGCCAGCTGAGGGCAAGGAAAAGGGGCGGGCAGAGGGTGAGCAGAGGGGCGAGCGATGCAAGGGATGCACCAGAGGGGGGGAATCCAGTTGAACGGAGGTGAGAGGTGAGGGGCGTGCGAGGGGTGGAACAGGGGCAGGGAGGGGCAGAACGGGAGGATGTGGGTGGGGGGTGGGGGAGGGGAGTGTGTGTGTGTGTGTGTGTGCGAGAGGAAAGAGAGAGAGAGAGAGAGAGAGTGAGAGAGATAGAGAGAGAGAGAGAGGGAGAGGGGGGGGGGAGAAGGGTGGGAGGGGGGCTGGTGGTGGGGACGGGCTGATGGTGGTAAGAGGGCAGCAGGGATGGGGAGAAGGGAGCGTAACGAGGGAAAGCAAAGGGCAGGGGGGAGAAACCAAGCATAGGGGGGCGAGAAACGAGGGGCAGGGTGCGGATTGAGGAGGGGCAGGGAGTGGAGTGGGTTAGCGAGGGGAAGGAAGAGGCGTGCAGCAGAGGAGGGGAGGGGGGAGGCGAAGGTAAACGAGGGGAGGGCACGGGCGGGGAGGAGCGAATGGCGAGCGGTGGGTAACGGCGAGGGGGCAGGGAGGGTCAAAAGAGGCGGCGAGGGAGCGGGCACGCGGAGGGTAGGGGCGGGGGGAGCGGATGGCATGAGGGGGCAGGGGGTGTGACTATGAAGGGGGGACCCGGGCAAGGGGTGTGTACCGGTCGGGGCACGGGATTGTCGTGGTACGATCATACCTCGGCTACTACGCCGGATCCCATCAGAACTCCGAAGCTAAGCGCCGGTGGGCGAGAGCAGTACTGGGCTGGGTGACCTCCCGGGAAGTCCTCGTGTTGTACCCATTTATGCCCCTTGCTCGGCACGTGCCGGGAGGGGCAAGCGGGAAAAACAAAGACGATTTTAGCGCGTCCGACTTTTTTATTTCCGTTTTTTTTGCCCGAACAACGAGTCAGCGGGGTGGGGGGCCCCGGGGAGGCTTGCCCGCGCGAAGAAACGCCCCGTGCGCACCACCGTTGGGCGGTTGGAAGCCGCACACGGTCGCGGGGGTGGAGAGCGGAAACGGGCAGCCGGGGGAGGGTGGGGGCGGTTGGACGGGAGTGGGGTGTACGGGGGGCAGGGGAGTTGAGGGGGCAAGGGGAGGGGCAGCAACGGGCAGGGGCTGGGCCAGCTGAGGGCAAGGAAAAGGGGCGGGCAGAGGGTGAGCAGAGGGGCGAGCGATGCAAGGGATGCACCAGAGGGGGGGAATCCAGTTGAACGGAGGTGAGAGGTGAGGGGCGTGCGAGGGGGTGGAACAGGGGCAGGGAGGGGCAGAACGGGAGGATGTGGGTGGGGGGTGGGGGAGGGGAGTGTGTGTGTGTGTGGGTGTGCGAGAGAAAGAGAGAGAGAGAGAGAGAGAGAGGGAGGAGAGGGGGGGGGGGAGAAGGGTGGGAGGGGGGCTGGTGGTGGGGACGGGCTGATGGTGGTAAGAGGGCAGCAGGGATGGGGAGAAGGGAGCGTAACGAGGGGAAAGCAAAGGGCAGGGGGGGAGGAAGGGAGGGGCAGGGAGGGAAGAGGGTGAACGTACAAAGAGGGGAAACGAGGGGCATGGATGGTAGGAAACAAGGGCAGGGGTGCGGGAAATCAAGGGCAGGGAGGGGAGAAGCAATGGGTGCGGGGAGAACAAGGGAGGGGCAGAGGGGTACAAGGTGATCTCAGGGAGGGAAGAAACGTGGGGCAGGGAGGGGAGAAACCAAAAGACAGGGGCATGGGCAGGCCGGGGGGCAGGGAGGGAGCAAAGGAGATGCACGGAGAAAGAAAGGGAGGTGCAGGGAGGGAGAAACCGGGCGTGGGGGGGCGGAAAATGAGGGGCAGGGCGGGGAGGAGGAGAGGCATGGAGGGGAGAAGCTGAGCACACGGAGGGGGGAAAGGTGGGGCAGGGAGGTGGGAAGCCAAGGGCAAGTGGAGGAGAGTGGGGGGCAGGGAGAGGGGGGAGGTGGGGAGCGGAGAAAGGCGGCGAGGGGCAGGGAGGGGAGAAACCAAGCGTAGGGGGGCGAGAAACGAGGGCAGGGTGCGGATTGAGGAGGGGCAGGAGTGGAGTGGGTTAGCGAGGGGAAGGAAGATGGCGTGCAGCAGAGGAGGGGAGGGGGGAGGCGAAGGTAAACGAGGGAGGGCACGGCGGGGAGGAGCGAATGGCGAGCGGTGGGGTAACGGCGAGGGGGGCAGGGAGGGTCAAAAGAGGCGGCGAGGGAGCGGGCACGCGGAGGGTAGGGGCTGGGGGAGCGGGATGGCATGATGGGGGCAGGGGGTGTGACTATGAAGGGGGGACCCGGGCAAGGGGTGTGTACGGTCGGGGCACGGGATTGTCGTGGTACGATCATACCTCGGCTTACTACGCCGGATCCCATCAGAACTCCGAAGCTAAGCGCCGGTGGGCTGAGAGCAGTACTGGGCTGGGTGACCTCCCGGGAAGTCCTCGTGTTGTACCCATTTATGCCCCTTGCTCGGCACGTGCCGGGGAGGGGCAAGCGGGAAAAACAAAGGACGATTTTAGCGCCGTCCGACTTTTTTATTTCCGTTTTTTTTGCTCCCGAACAACGAGGTCAGCGGGGTGGGGGGCCCCCGGGGAGGCTTGCCCGCGCGAAGAAACGCCCCGTGCGCACCACCGTTGGGCGGTTGGAAGCCGCACACGGTCGCGGGGGTGGAGAGCGGAAACGGGCAGCCGGGGGAGGGTGGGGGGCGGTTGGACGGGAGTGGGGTTGTACGGGGGGCAGGGGAGTTGAGGGGGCAAGGGGAGGGGCAGCAACGGGCAGGGGCTGGGCCAGCTGAGGGCAAGGAAAAGGGGCGGGCAGAGGGTGAGCAGAGGGGCGAGCGATGCAAGGGATGCACCAGAGGGGGGGAATCCAGTTGAACGGAGGTGAGAGGTGAGGGGCGTGCGAGGGGGTGGAACAGGGGCAGGGAGGGGCAGAACGGGAGGATGTGGGTGGGGGGTGGGGGGAGGGGAGTGTGTGTGTGTGTGTGTGTGAGAGAGAGAGAGAGAGAGAGAGAGAGAGAGAGAGGGAGAGGGGGGGGGGAGAAGGGTGGGAGGGGGGCTGGTGGTGGGGACGGGCTGATGGTGGTAAGAGGGCAGCAGGGATGGGGAGAAGGGAGCGTAACGAGGGGAAAGCAAAGGGCAGGGGGGGAGGAAGGGAGGGGCAGGGAGGGAAGAGGGTGAACGTACAAAGAGGGGAAACGAGGGGCATGGATGGTAGGAAACAAGGGCAGGGGTGCGGGAAATCAAGGGCAGGGAGGGGAGAAGCAATGGGTGCGGGGAGAACAAGGGAGGGGCAGAGGGGGTACAAGGTGATCTCAGGGAGGGAAGAAACGTGGGGCAGGGAGGGGAGAAACCAAAGACAGGGGCATGGGCAGGCGGGGGCAGGGAGGGAGCAAAGGAGAGGCACGGAGAAAGAAAGGGAGGTGCAGGGAGGGGAGAAACCGGGCGTGGGGGGGCGGAAAATGAGGGGCAGGGCGGGGAGGAGGGAGAGGCAGGGAGGGGAGAAGCTGAGCACACGGAGGGGGGAAAGGTGGGGCAGGGAGGTGGGAAGCCAAGGGCAAGTGGAGGAGAGTGGGGGGCAGGGAGAGGGGGGAGGTGGGGAGCGGAGAGAAAGGCGGCGAGGGGCAGGGAGGGGAGAAACCAAGCGTAGGGGGGCGAGAAGAACGAGGGGCAGGGTGCGGATTGAGGAGGGGCAGGGAGTGGAGTGGGGTTAGCGAGGGGAAGGAAGAGGCGTGCAGCAGAGGAGGGGAGGGGGGAGGCGAAGGTAAACGAGGGGAGGGCACGGGCGGGGAGGAGCGAATGGCGAGCGGTGGGTAACGGCGAGGGGGGCAGGGAGGGTCAAAAGAGGCGGCGAGGGAGCGGGCACGCGGAGGGTAGGGGCGGGGGGAGCGGATGGCATGAGGGGGCAGGGGGTGTGACTATGAAGGGGGGACCCGGGCAAGGGGTGTGTACCGGTCGGGGCACGGGATTGTCGTGGTACGATCATACCTCGGCTACTACGCCGGATCCCATCAGAACTCCGAAGCTAAGCGCCGGTGGGCGAGAGCAGTACTGGGCTGGGTGACCTCCCGGGAAGTCCTCGTGTTGTACCCATTTATGCCCCTTGCTCGGCACGTGCCGGGGAGGGGCAAGCGGGAAAAACAAAGGACGATTTTAGCGCGTCCGACTTTTTTATTTCCGTTTTTTTGCCCGAACAACGAGTCAGCGGGGTGGGGGGGGCCCCGGGGAGGCTTGCCCGCGCGAAGAAACGCCCCGTGCGCACCACCGTTGGGCGGTTGGAAGCCGCACACGGTCGCGGGGGTGGAGAGCGGAAACGGGCAGCCGGGGGGAGGGTGGGGGCGGTTGGACGGGAGTGGGGTGTACGGGGGGCAGGGGAGTTGAGGGGGCAAGGGGAGGGGCAGCAACGGGCAGGGGCTGGGCCAGCTGAGGGCAAGGAAAAGGGGCGGGCAGAGGGTGAGCAGAGGGGCGAGCGATGCAAGGGATGCACCAGAGGGGGGGAATCCAGTTGAACGGAGGTGAGAGGTGAGGGGCGTGCGAGGGGGTGGAACAGGGGCAGGGAGGGGGCAGAACGGGAGGATGTGGGTGGGGGGTGGGGGAGGGGAGTGTGTGTGTGTGTGTGTGTGCGAGAGAAAGAGAGAGAGAGAGAGAGAGAGTGAGAGAGATAGAGAGAGAGAGAGAGAGAGAGGGAGAGGGGGGGGGGGAGAAGGGTGGGAGGGGGGCTGGTGGTGGGGACGGGCTGATGGTGGTAAGAGGGCAGCAGGGATGGGAGAAGGGAGCGTAACGAGGGGAAAGCAAAGGGCAGGGGGGGAGAAACCAAGCATAGGGGGGCGAGAAACGAGGGGCAGGGTGCGGATTGAGGAGGGGCAGGGAGTGGAGTGGGTTAGCGAGGGGAAGGAAGAGGCGTGCAGCAGAGGAGGGGAGGGGGGAGGCGAAGGTAAACGAGGGGAGGGCACGGGCGGGGAGGAGCGAATGGCGAGCGGTGGGTAACGGCGAGGGGGGCAGGGAGGGTCAAAAGAGGCGGCGAGGGAGCGGGCACGCGGAGGGTAGGGGCGGGGGGAGCGGATGGCATGAGGGGGCAGGGGGTGTGACTATGAAGGGGGGACCCGGGCAAGGGGTGTGTACCGGTCGGGGCACGGGATTGTCGTGGTACGATCATACCTCGGCTACTACGCCGGATCCCATCAGAACTCCGAAGCTAAGCGCCGGTGGGCGAGAGCAGTACTGGGCTGGGTGACCTCCCGGGAAGTCCTCGTGTTGTACCCATTTATGCCCCTTGCTCGGCACGTGCCGGGGAGGGGCAAGCGGGAAAAACAAAGGACGATTTTAGCGCGTCCGACTTTTTTATTTCCGTTTTTTTTTGCCCGAACAACGAGTCAGCGGGGTGGGGGGCCCCCGGGGAGGCTTGCCCCGCGCGAAGAAACGCCCCGTGCGCACCACCGTTGGGCGGTTGGAAGCCGCACACGGTCGCGGGGGTGGAGAGCGGAAACGGGCAGCCGGGGGAGGGTGGGGGCGGTTGGACGGGAGTGGGGTGTACGGGGGGCAGGGGAGTTGAGGGGGCAAGGGGAGGGGCAGCAACGGGCAGGGGCTGGGCCAGCTGAGGGCAAGGAAAAGGGGCGGGCAGAGGGTGAGCAGAGGGGCGAGCGATGCAAGGGATGCACCAGAGGGGGGGAATCCAGTTGAACGGAGGTGAGAGGTGAGGGGCGTGCGAGGGGGTGGAACAGGGGCAGGGAGGGGCAGAACGGGAGGATGTGGGTGGGGGGTGGGGGAGGGGAGTGTGTGTGTGTGTGTGTGTGCGAGAGAAAGAGAGAGAGAGAGAGAGAGAGTGAGAGAGATAGAGAGAGAGAGAGAGAGAGGGAGAGGGGGGGGGGGAGAAGGGTGGGAGGGGGGCTGGTGGTGGGGACGGGCTGATGGTGGTAAGAGGGCAGCAGGGATGGGGAGAAGGGAGCGTAACGAGGGGAAAGCAAAGGGCAGGGGGGGAGAAACCAAGCATAGGGGGGCGAGAAACGAGGGGCAGGGTGCGGATTGAGGAGGGGCAGGGAGTGGAGTGGGTTAGCGAGGGGAAGGAAGAGGCGTGCAGCAGAGGAGGGGAGGGGGGAGGCGAAGGTAAACGAGGGGAGGGCACGGGCGGGGGAGGAGCGAATGGCGAGCGGTGGGTAACGGCGAGGGGGGCAGGGAGGGTCAAAAGAGGCGGCGAGGGAGCGGGCACGCGGAGGGTAGGGGCGGGGGGAGCGGATGGCATGAGGGGGCAGGGGGTGTGACTATGAAGGGGGGACCCGGGCAAGGGGTGTGTACCGGTCGGGGCACGGGATTGTCGTGGTACGATCATACCTCGGCTACTACGCCGGATCCCATCAGAACTCCGAAGCTAAGCGCCGGTGGGCGAGAGCAGTACTGGGCTGGGTGACCTCCCGGGAAGTCCTCGTGTTGTACCCATTTATGCCCCTTGCTCGGCACGTGCCGGGGAGGGGCAAGCGGGAAAAACAAAGGACGATTTTAGCGCGTCCGACTTTTTTATTTCCGTTTTTTTTGCCCGAACAACGAGTCAGCGGGGTGGGGGGCCCCCGGGGAGGCTTGCCCGCGCGAAGAAACGCCCCGTGCGCACCACCGTTGGGCGGTTGGAAGCCGCACACGGTCGCGGGGGTGGAGAGCGGAAACGGGCAGCCGGGGGAGGGTGGGGGCGGTTGGACGGGAGTGGGGTGTACGGGGGGCAGGGGAGTTGAGGGGGCAAGGGGAGGGGCAGCAACGGGCAGGGGCTGGGCCAGCTGAGGGCAAGGAAAAGGGGCGGGCAGAGGGTGAGCAGAGGGGCGAGCGATGCAAGGGATGCACCAGAGGGGGGGAATCCAGTTGAACGGAGGTGAGAGGTGAGGGGCGTGCGAGGGGGTGGAACAGGGGCAGGGAGGGGCAGAACGGGAGGATGTGGGTGGGGGGTGGGGGAGGGGAGTGTGTGTGTGTGTGTGTGTGCGAGAGAAAGAGAGAGAGAGAGAGAGAGAGAGAGGGAGAGGGGGGGGGGGGAGAAGGGTGGGAGGGGGGCTGGTGGTGGGGACGGGCTGATGGTGGTAAGAGGGCAGCAGGGATGGGGAGAAGGGAGCGTAACGAGGGGAAAGCAAAGGGCAGGGGGGGAGGAAGGGAGGGGCAGGGAGGGAAGAGGGTGAACGTACAAAGAGGGGAAACGAGGGGCATGGATGGTAGGAAACAAGGGCAGGGGTGCGGGAAATCAAGGGCAGGGAGGGGAGAAGCAATGGGTGCGGGGAGAACAAGGGAGGGGCAGAGGGGGTACAAGGTGATCTCAGGGAGGGAAGAAACGTGGGGCAGGGAGGGGAGAAACCAAAGACAGGGGCATGGGCAGGCGGGGGCAGGGAGGGAGCAAAGGAGAGGCACGGAGAAAGAAAGGGAGGTGCAGGGAGGGGAGAAAACCGGGCGTGGGGGGGCGGAAAATGAGGGGCAGGGCGGGGAGGAGGGAGAGGCAGGGAGGGGAGAAGCTGAGCACACGGAGGGGGGAAAGGTGGGGCAGGGAGGTGGGAAGCCAAGGGCAAGTGGAGGAGAGTGGGGGGGCAGGGAGAGGGGGGAGGTGGGGAGCGGAGAAAGGCGGCGAGGGGCAGGGAGGGGAGAAACCAAGCGTAGGGGGGCGAGAAACGAGGGGCAGGGTGCGGATTGAGGAGGGGCAGGGAGTGGAGTGGGTTAGCGAGGGGAAGGAAGAGGCGTGCAGCAGAGGAGGGGAGGGGGGAGGCGAAGGTAAACGAGGGGAGGGCACGGGCGGGGAGGAGCGAATGGCGAGCGGTGGGTAACGGCGAGGGGGGCAGGGAGGGTCAAAAGAGGCGGCGAGGGAGCGGGCACGCGGAGGGTAGGGGCGGGGGGAGCGGATGGCATGAGGGGGCAGGGGGTGTGACTATGAAGGGGGGACCCGAGCAAGGGGTGTGTACCGGTCGGGGCACGGGATTGTCGTGGTACGATCATACCTCGGCTACTACGCCGGATCCCATCAGAACTCCGAAGCTAAGCGCCGGTGGGCGAGAGCAGTACTGGGCTGGGTGACCTCCCGGGAAGTCCTCGTGTTGTACCCATTTATGCCCCTTGCTCGGCACGTGCCGGGGAGGGGCAAGCGGGAAAAACAAAGGACGATTTTAGCGCGTCCGACTTTTTTATTTCCGTTTTTTTTGCCCGAACAACGAGTCAGCGGGGTGGGGGGCCCCCGGGGAGGCTTGCCCGCGCGAAGAAACGCCCCGTGCGCACCACCGTTGGGCGGTTGGAAGCCGCACACGGTCGCGGGGGTGGAGAGCGGAAACGGGCAGCCGGGGGAGGGTGGGGGCGGTTGGACGGGAGTGGGGTGTACGGGGGGCAGGGGAGTTGAGGGGGCAAGGGGAGGGGCAGCAACGGGCAGGGGCTGGGCCAGCTGAGGGCAAGGAAAAGGGGCGGGCAGAGGGTGAGCAGAGGGGCGAGCGATGCAAGGGATGCACCAGAGGGGGGGAATCCAGTTGAACGGAGGTGAGAGGTGAGGGGCGTGCGAGGGGGTGGAACAGGGGCAGGGAGGGGCAGAACGGGAGGATGTGGGTGGGGGGTGGGGGAGGGGAGTGTGTGTGTGTGTGTGTGTGTGCGAGAGAAAGAGAGAGAGAGAGAGAGAGAGTGAGAGAGATAGAGAGAGAGAGAGAGAGAGGGAGAGGGGGGGGGGGGAGAAGGGTGGGAGGGGGGCTGGTGGTGGGGACGGGCTGATGGTGGTAAGAGGGCAGCAGGGATGGGGAGAAGGGAGCGTAACGAGGGGAAAGCAAAGGGCAGGGGGGGAGAAACCAAGCATAGGGGGGCGAGAAACGAGGGGCAGGGTGCGGATTGAGGAGGGGCAGGGAGTGGAGTGGGTTAGCGAGGGGAAGGAAGAGGCGTGCAGCAGAGGAGGGGAGGGGGGAGGCGAAGGTAAACGAGGGGAGGGCACGGGCGGGGAGGAGCGAATGGCGAGCGGTGGGTAACGGCGAGGGGGGCAGGGAGGGTCAAAAGAGGCGGCGAGGGAGCGGGCACGCGGAGGGTAGGGGCGGGGGGAGCGGATGGCATGAGGGGGCAGGGGGTGTGACTATGAAGGGGGGACCCGGGCAAGGGGTGTGTACCGGTCGGGGCACGGGATTGTCGTGGTACGATCATACCTCGGCTACTACGCCGGATCCCATCAGAACTCCGAAGCTAAGCGCCGGTGGGCGAGAGCAGTACTGGGCTGGGTGACCTCCCGGGAAGTCCTCGTGTTGTACCCATTTATGCCCCTTGCTCGGCACGTGCCGGGGAGGGGCAAGCGGGAAAAACAAAGGACGATTTTAGCGCGTCCGACTTTTTTATTTCCGTTTTTTTTGCCCCGAACAACGAGTCAGCGGGGTGGGGGGCCCCCGGGGAGGCTTGCCCGCGCGAAGAAACGCCCCGTGCGCACCACCGTTGGGCGGTTGGAAGCCGCACACGGTCGCGGGGGTGGAGAGCGGAAACGGGCAGCCGGGGGAGGGTGGGGGCGGTTGGACGGGAGTGGGGTGTACGGGGGGCAGGGGAGTTGAGGGGGCAAGGGGAGGGGCAGCAACGGGCAGGGGCTGGGCCAGCTGAGGGCAAGGAAAAGGGGCGGGCAGAGGGTGAGCAGAGGGGCGAGCGATGCAAGGGATGCACCAGAGGGGGGGAATCCAGTTGAACGGAGGTGAGAGGTGAGGGGCGTGCGAGGGGGTGGAACAGGGGCAGGGAGGGGCAGAACGGGAGGATGTGGGTGGGGGGTGGGGGAGGGGAGTGTGTGTGTGTGTGTGTGTGCGAGAGAAAGAGAGAGAGAGAGAGAGAGAGAGGGAGAGGGGGGGGGGGGAGAAGGGTGGGAGGGGGGCTGGTGGTGGGGACGGGCTGATGGTGGTAAGAGGGCAGCAGGGATGGGGAGAAGGGAGCGTAACGAGGGGAAAGCAAAGGGCAGGGGGGGAGGAAGGGAGGGGCAGGGAGGGAAGAGGGTGAACGTACAAAGAGGGGAAACGAGGGGCATGGATGGTAGGAAACAAGGGCAGGGGTGCGGGAAATCAAGGGCAGGGAGGGGAGAAGCAATGGGTGCGGGGAGAACAAGGGAGGGGCAGAGGGGGTACAAGGTGATCTCAGGGAGGGAAGAAACGTGGGGCAGGGAGGGGAGAAACCAAAGACAGGGGCATGGGCAGGCGGGGGCAGGGAGGGAGCAAAGGAGAGGCACGGAGAAAGAAAGGGAGGTGCAGGGAGGGGAGAAACCGGGCGTGGGGGGGCGGAAAATGAGGGGCAGGGCGGGGAGGAGGGAGAGGCAGGGAGGGGAGAAGCTGAGCACACGGAGGGGGGAAAGGTGGGGCAGGGAGGTGGGAAGCCAAGGGCAAGTGGAGGAGAGTGGGGGGGCAGGGAGAGGGGGGAGGTGGGGAGCGGAGAAAGGCGGCGAGGGGCAGGGAGGGGAGAAACCAAGCGTAGGGGGGCGAGAAACGAGGGGCAGGGTGCGGATTGAGGAGGGGCAGGGAGTGGAGTGGGTTAGCGAGGGGAAGGAAGAGGCGTGCAGCAGAGGAGGGGAGGGGGGAGGCGAAGGTAAACGAGGGGAGGGCACGGGCGGGGAGGAGCGAATGGCGAGCGGTGGGTAACGGCGAGGGGGGCAGGGAGGGTCAAAAGAGGCGGCGAGGGAGCGGGCACGCGGAGGGTAGGGGCGGGGGGAGCGGATGGCATGAGGGGGCAGGGGGTGTGACTATGAAGGGGGGACCCGGGCAAGGGGTGTGTACCGGTCGGGGCACGGGATTGTCGTGGTACGATCATACCTCGGCTACTACGCCGGATCCCATCAGAACTCCGAAGCTAAGCGCCGGTGGGCGAGAGCAGTACTGGGCTGGGTGACCTCCCGGGAAGTCCTCGTGTTGTACCCATTTATGCCCCTTGCTCGGCACGTGCCGGGGAGGGGCAAGCGGGAAAAAGAAAGGACGATTTTAGCGCGTCCGACTTTTTTATTTCCGTTTTTTTTGCCCGAACAACGAGTCAGCGGGGTGGGGGGCCCCCGGGGAGGCTTGCCCGCGCGAAGAAACGCCCCGTGCGCACCACCGTTGGGCGGTTGGAAGCCGCACACGGTCGCGGGGGTGGAGAGCGGAAACGGGCAGCCGGGGGAGGGTGGGGGCGGTTGGACGGGAGTGGGGTGTACGGGGGGCAGGGGAGTTGAGGGGGCAAGGGGAGGGGCAGCAACGGGCAGGGGCTGGGCCAGCTGAGGGCAAGGAAAAGGGGCGGGCAGAGGGTGAGCAGAGGGGCGAGCGATGCAAGGGATGCACCAGAGGGGGGGAATCCAGTTGAACGGAGGTGAGAGGTGAGGGGCGTGCGAGGGGGTGGAACAGGGGCAGGGAGGGGCAGAACGGGAGGATGTGGGTGGGGGGTGGGGGAGGGGAGTGTGTGTGTGTGTGTGTGTGCGAGAGAAAGAGAGAGAGAGAGAGAGAGAGAGGGAGAGGGGGGGGGGGGAGAAGGGTGGGAGGGGGGCTGGTGGTGGGGACGGGCTGATGGTGGTAAGAGGGCAGCAGGGATGGGGAGAAGGGAGCGTAACGAGGGGAAAGCAAAGGGCAGGGGGGGAGGAAGGGAGGGGCAGGGAGGGAAGAGGGTGAACGTACAAAGAGGGGAAACGAGGGGCATGGATGGTAGGAAACAAGGGCAGGGGTGCGGGAAATCAAGGGCAGGGAGGGGAGAAGCAATGGGTGCGGGGAGAACAAGGGAGGGGCAGAGGGGGTACAAGGTGATCTCAGGGAGGGAAGAAACGTGGGGCAGGGAGGGGAGAAACCAAAGACAGGGGCATGGGCAGGCGGGGGCAGGGAGGGAGCAAAGGAGAGGCACGGAGAAAGAAAGGGAGGTGCAGGGAGGGGAGAAACCGGGCGTGGGGGGGCGGAAAATGAGGGGCAGGGCGGGGAGGAGGGAGAGGCAGGGAGGGGAGAAGCTGAGCACACGGAGGGGGGAAAGGTGGGGCAGGGAGGTGGGAAGCCAAGGGCAAGTGGAGGAGAGTGGGGGGGCAGGGAGAGGGGGGAGGTGGGGAGCGGAGAAAGGCGGCGAGGGGCAGGGAGGGGAGAAACCAAGCGTAGGGGGGCGAGAAACGAGGGGCAGGGTGCGGATTGAGGAGGGGCAGGGAGTGGAGTGGGTTAGCGAGGGGAAGGAAGAGGCGTGCAGCAGAGGAGGGGAGGGGGGAGGCGAAGGTAAACGAGGGGAGGGCACGGGCGGGGAGGAGCGAATGGCGAGCGGTGGGTAACGGCGAGGGGGGCAGGGAGGGTCAAAAGAGGCGGCGAGGGAGCGGGCACGCGGAGGGTAGGGGCGGGGGGAGCGGATGGCATGAGGGGGCAGGGGGTGTGACTATGAAGGGGGGACCCGGGCAAGGGGTGTGTACCGGTCGGGGCACGGGATTGTCGTGGTACGATCATACCTCGGCTACTACGCCGGATCCCATCAGAACTCCGAAGCTAAGCGCCGGTGGGCGAGAGCAGTACTGGGCTGGGTGACCTCCCGGGAAGTCCTCGTGTTGTACCCATTTATGCCCCTTGCTCGGCACGTGCCGGGGAGGGGCAAGCGGGAAAAACAAAGGACGATTTTAGCGCGTCCGACTTTTTTATTTCCGTTTTTTTTGCCCGAACAACGAGTCAGCGGGGTGGGGGGCCCCCGGGGAGGCTTGCCCGCGCGAAGAAACGCCCCGTGCGCACCACCGTTGGGCGGTTGGAAGCCGCACACGGTCGCGGGGGTGGAGAGCGGAAACGGGCAGCCGGGGGAGGGTGGGGGCGGTTGGACGGGAGTGGGGTGTACGGGGGGCAGGGGAGTTGAGGGGGCAAGGGGAGGGGCAGCAACGGGCAGGGGCTGGGCCAGCTGAGGGCAAGGAAAAGGGGCGGGCAGAGGGTGAGCAGAGGGGCGAGCGATGCAAGGGATGCACCAGAGGGGGGGAATCCAGTTGAACGGAGGTGAGAGGTGAGGGGCGTGCGAGGGGGTGGAACAGGGGCAGGGAGGGGCAGAACGGGAGGATGTGGGTGGGGGGTGGGGGAGGGGAGTGTGTGTGTGTGTGTGTGTGCGAGAGAAAGAGAGAGAGAGAGAGAGAGAGTGAGAGAGATAGAGAGAGAGAGAGAGAGAGGGAGAGGGGGGGGGGGAGAAGGGTGGGAGGGGGGCTGGTGGTGGGGACGGGCTGATGGTGGTAAGAGGGCAGCAGGGATGGGGAGAAGGGAGCGTAACGAGGGGAAAGCAAAGGGCAGGGGGGGAGAAACCAAGCATAGGGGGGCGAGAAACGAGGGGCAGGGTGCGGATTGAGGAGGGGCAGGGAGTGGAGTGGGTTAGCGAGGGGAAGGAAGAGGCGTGCAGCAGAGGAGGGGAGGGGGGAGGCGAAGGTAAACGAGGGGAGGGCACGGGCGGGGAGGAGCGAATGGCGAGCGGTGGGTAACGGCGAGGGGGGCAGGGAGGGTCAAAAGAGGCGGCGAGGGAGCGGGCACGCGGAGGGTAGGGGCGGGGGGAGCGGATGGCATGAGGGGGCAGGGGGTGTGACTATGAAGGGGGGACCCGGGCAAGGGGTGTGTACCGGTCGGGGCACGGGATTGTCGTGGTACGATCATACCTCGGCTACTACGCCGGATCCCATCAGAACTCCGAAGCTAAGCGCCGGTGGGCGAGAGCAGTACTGGGCTGGGTGACCTCCCGGGAAGTCCTCGTGTTGTACCCATTTATGCCCCTTGCTCGGCACGTGCCGGGGAGGGGCAAGCGGGAAAAACAAAGGACGATTTTAGCGCGTCCGACTTTTTTATTTCCGTTTTTTTGCCCGAACAACGAGTCAGCGGGGTGGGGGGGCCCCCGGGGAGGCTTGCCCGCGCGAAGAAACGCCCCGTGCGCACCACCGTTGGGCGGTTGGAAGCCGCACACGGTCGCGGGGGTGGAGAGCGGAAACGGGCAGCCGGGGGAGGGTGGGGGCGGTTGGACGGGAGTGGGGTGTACGGGGGGCAGGGGAGTTGAGGGGGCAAGGGGAGGGGCAGCAACGGGCAGGGGCTGGGCCAGCTGAGGGCAAGGAAAAGGGGCGGGCAGAGGGTGAGCAGAGGGGCGAGCGATGCAAGGGATGCACCAGAGGGGGGGAATCCAGTTGAACGGAGGTGAGAGGTGAGGGGCGTGCGAGGGGGTGGAACAGGGGCAGGGAGGGGCAGAACGGGAGGATGTGGGTGGGGGGTGGGGGAGGGGAGTGTGTGTGTGTGTGTGTGTGCGAGAGAAAGAGAGAGAGAGAGAGAGAGAGAGGGAGAGGGGGGGGGGGAGAAGGGTGGGAGGGGGGCTGGTGGTGGGGACGGGCTGATGGTGGTAAGAGGGCAGCAGGGATGGGGAGAAGGGAGCGTAACGAGGGGAAAGCAAAGGGCAGGGGGGGAGGAAGGGAGGGGCAGGGAGGGAAGAGGGTGAACGTACAAAGAGGGGAAACGAGGGGCATGGATGGTAGGAAACAAGGGCAGGGGTGCGGGAAATCAAGGGCAGGGAGGGGAGAAGCAATGGGTGCGGGGAGAACAAGGGAGGGGCAGAGGGGGTACAAGGTGATCTCAGGGAGGGAAGAAACGTGGGGCAGGGAGGGGAGAAACCAAAGACAGGGGCATGGGCAGGCGGGGGCAGGGAGGGAGCAAAGGAGAGGCACGGAGAAAGAAAGGGAGGTGCAGGGAGGGGAGAAACCGGGCGTGGGGGGGCGGAAAATGAGGGGCAGGGCGGGGAGGAGGGAGAGGCAGGGAGGGGAGAAGCTGAGCACACGGAGGGGGGAAAGGTGGGGCAGGGAGGTGGGAAGCCAAGGGCAAGTGGAGGAGAGTGGGGGGGCAGGGAGAGGGGGGAGGTGGGGAGCGGAGAAAGGCGGCGAGGGGCAGGGAGGGGAGAAACCAAGCGTAGGGGGGCGAGAAACGAGGGGCAGGGTGCGGATTGAGGAGGGGCAGGGAGTGGAGTGGGTTAGCGAGGGGAAGGAAGAGGCGTGCAGCAGAGGAGGGGAGGGGGGAGGCGAAGGTAAACGAGGGGAGGGCACGGGCGGGGAGGAGCGAATGGCGAGCGGTGGGTAACGGCGAGGGGGGCAGGGAGGGTCAAAAGAGGCGGCGAGGGAGCGGGCACGCGGAGGGTAGGGGCGGGGGGAGCGGATGGCATGAGGGGGCAGGGGGTGTGACTATGAAGGGGGGACCCGGGCAAGGGGTGTGTACCGGTCGGGGCACGGGATTGTCGTGGTACGATCATACCTCGGCTACTACGCCGGATCCCATCAGAACTCCGAAGCTAAGCGCCGGTGGGCGAGAGCAGTACTGGGCTGGGTGACCTCCCGGGAAGTCCTCGTGTTGTACCCATTTATGCCCCTTGCTCGGCACGTGCCGGGGAGGGGCAAGCGGGAAAAACAAAGGACGATTTTAGCGCGTCCGACTTTTTTATTTCCGTTTTTTTTGCCCGAACAACGAGTCAGCGGGGTGGGGGGCCCCCGGGGAGGCTTGCCCGCGCGAAGAAACGCCCCGTGCGCACCACCGTTGGGCGGTTGGAAGCCGCACACGGTCGCGGGGGTGGAGAGCGGAAACGGGCAGCCGGGGGAGGGTGGGGGCGGTTGGACGGGAGTGGGGTGTACGGGGGGCAGGGGAGTTGAGGGGGCAAGGGGAGGGGCAGCAACGGGCAGGGGCTGGGCCAGCTGAGGGCAAGGAAAAGGGGCGGGCAGAGGGTGAGCAGAGGGGCGAGCGATGCAAGGGATGCACCAGAGGGGGGGAATCCAGTTGAACGGAGGTGAGAGGTGAGGGGCGTGCGAGGGGGTGGAACAGGGGCAGGGAGGGGCAGAACGGGAGGATGTGGGTGGGGGGTGGGGGAGGGGAGTGTGTGTGTGTGTGTGTGTGCGAGAGAAAGAGAGAGAGAGAGAGAGAGAGAGGGAGAGGGGGGGGGGGGAGAAGGGTGGGAGGGGGGCTGGTGGTGGGGACGGGCTGATGGTGGTAAGAGGGCAGCAGGGATGGGGAGAAGGGAGCGTAACGAGGGGAAAGCAAAGGGCAGGGGGGGAGGAAGGGAGGGGCAGGGAGGGAAGAGGGTGAACGTACAAAGAGGGGAAACGAGGGGCATGGATGGTAGGAAACAAGGGCAGGGGTGCGGGAAATCAAGGGCAGGGAGGGGAGAAGCAATGGGTGCGGGGAGAACAAGGGAGGGGCAGAGGGGGTACAAGGTGATCTCAGGGAGGGAAGAAACGTGGGGCAGGGAGGGGAGAAACCAAAGACAGGGGCATGGGCAGGCGGGGGCAGGGAGGGAGCAAAGGAGAGGCACGGAGAAAGAAAGGGAGGTGCAGGGAGGGGAGAAACCGGGCGTGGGGGGGCGGAAAATGAGGGGCAGGGCGGGGAGGAGGGAGAGGCAGGGAGGGGAGAAGCTGAGCACACGGAGGGGGGAAAGGTGGGGCAGGGAGGTGGGAAGCCAAGGGCAAGTGGAGGAGAGTGGGGGGGGCAGGGAGAGGGGGGAGGTGGGGAGCGGAGAAAGGCGGCGAGGGGCAGGGAGGGGAGAAACCAAGCGTAGGGGGGCGAGAAACGAGGGGCAGGGTGCGGATTGAGGAGGGGCAGGGAGTGGAGTGGGTTAGCGAGGGGAAGGAAGAGGCGTGCAGCAGAGGAGGGGAGGGGGGAGGCGAAGGTAAACGAGGGGAGGGCACGGGCGGGGAGGAGCGAATGGCGAGCGGTGGGTAACGGCGAGGGGGGCAGGGAGGGTCAAAAGAGGCGGCGAGGGAGCGGGCACGCGGAGGGTAGGGGCGGGGGGAGCGGATGGCATGAGGGGGCAGGGGGTGTGACTATGAAGGGGGGACCCGGGCAAGGGGTGTGTACCGGTCGGGGCACGGGATTGTCGTGGTACGATCATACCTCGGCTACTACGCCGGATCCCATCAGAACTCCGAAGCTAAGCGCCGGTGGGCGAGAGCAGTACTGGGCTGGGTGACCTCCCGGGAAGTCCTCGTGTTGTACCCATTTATGCCCCTTGCTCGGCACGTGCCGGGGAGGGGCAAGCGGGAAAAACAAAGGACGATTTTAGCGCGTCCGACTTTTTTATTTCCGTTTTTTTGCCCGAACAACGAGTCAGCGGGGTGGGGGGCCCCCGGGGAGGCTTGCCCGCGCGAAGAAACGCCCCGTGCGCACCACCGTTGGGCGGTTGGAAGCCGCACACGGTCGCGGGGGTGGAGAGCGGAAACGGGCAGCCGGGGGAGGGTGGGGGCGGTTGGACGGGAGTGGGGTGTACGGGGGGCAGGGGAGTTGAGGGGGCAAGGGGAGGGGCAGCAACGGGCAGGGGCTGGGCCAGCTGAGGGCAAGGAAAAGGGGCGGGCAGAGGGTGAGCAGAGGGGCGAGCGATGCAAGGGATGCACCAGAGGGGGGGAATCCAGTTGAACGGAGGTGAGAGGTGAGGGGCGTGCGAGGGGGTGGAACAGGGGCAGGGAGGGGCAGAACGGGAGGATGTGGGTGGGGGGTGGGGGAGGGGAGTGTGTGTGTGTGTGTGTGTGCGAGAGAAAGAGAGAGAGAGAGAGAGAGAGAGGGAGAGGGGGGGGGGGAGAAGGGTGGGAGGGGGGCTGGTGGTGGGGACGGGCTGATGGTGGTAAGAGGGCAGCAGGGATGGGGAGAAGGGAGCGTAACGAGGGGAAAGCAAAGGGCAGGGGGGGAGGAAGGGAGGGGCAGGGAGGGAAGAGGGTGAACGTACAAAGAGGGGAAACGAGGGGCATGGATGGTAGGAAACAAGGGCAGGGGTGCGGGAAATCAAGGGCAGGGAGGGGAGAAGCAATGGGTGCGGGGAGAACAAGGGAGGGGCAGAGGGGGTACAAGGTGATCTCAGGGAGGGAAGAAACGTGGGGCAGGGAGGGGAGAAACCAAAGACAGGGGCATGGGCAGGCGGGGGCAGGGAGGGAGCAAAGGAGAGGCACGGAGAAAGAAAGGGAGGTGCAGGGAGGGGAGAAACCGGGCGTGGGGGGGCGGAAAATGAGGGGCAGGGCGGGGAGGAGGGAGAGGCAGGGAGGGGAGAAGCTGAGCACACGGAGGGGGGAAAGGTGGGGCAGGGAGGTGGGAAGCCAAGGGCAAGTGGAGGAGAGTGGGGGGGCAGGGAGAGGGGGGAGGTGGGGAGCGGAGAAAGGCGGCGAGGGGCAGGGAGGGGAGAAACCAAGCGTAGGGGGGCGAGAAACGAGGGGCAGGGTGCGGATTGAGGAGGGGCAGGGAGTGGAGTGGGTTAGCGAGGGGAAGGAAGAGGCGTGCAGCAGAGGAGGGGAGGGGGGAGGCGAAGGTAAACGAGGGGAGGGCACGGGCGGGGAGGAGCGAATGGCGAGCGGTGGGTAACGGCGAGGGGGGCAGGGAGGGTCAAAAGAGGCGGCGAGGGAGCGGGCACGCGGAGGGTAGGGGCGGGGGGAGCGGATGGCATGAGGGGGCAGGGGGTGTGACTATGAAGGGGGGACCCGGGCAAGGGGTGTGTACCGGTCGGGGCACGGGATTGTCGTGGTACGATCATACCTCGGCTACTACGCCGGATCCCATCAGAACTCCGAAGCTAAGCGCCGGTGGGCGAGAGCAGTACTGGGCTGGGTGACCTCCCGGGAAGTCCTCGTGTTGTACCCATTTATGCCCCTTGCTCGGCACGTGCCGGGGAGGGGCAAGCGGGAAAAACAAAGGACGATTTTAGCGCGTCCGACTTTTTTATTTCCGTTTTTTTTGCCCGAACAACGAGTCAGCGGGGTGGGGGGCCCCCGGGGAGGCTTGCCCGCGCGAAGAAACGCCCCGTGCGCACCACCGTTGGGCGGTTGGAAGCCGCACACGGTCGCGGGGGTGGAGAGCGGAAACGGGCAGCCGGGGGAGGGTGGGGGCGGTTGGACGGGAGTGGGGTGTACGGGGGGCAGGGGAGTTGAGGGGGCAAGGGGAGGGGCAGCAACGGGCAGGGGCTGGGCCAGCTGAGGGCAAGGAAAAGGGGCGGGCAGAGGGTGAGCAGAGGGGCGAGCGATGCAAGGGATGCACCAGAGGGGGGGAATCCAGTTGAACGGAGGTGAGAGGTGAGGGGCGTGCGAGGGGGTGGAACAGGGGCAGGGAGGGGCAGAACGGGAGGATGTGGGTGGGGGGTGGGGGAGGGGAGTGTGTGTGTGTGTGTGTGTGCGAGAGAAAGAGAGAGAGAGAGAGAGAGAGTGAGAGAGATAGAGAGAGAGAGAGAGAGAGGGAGAGGGGGGGGGGGAGAAGGGTGGGAGGGGGGCTGGTGGTGGGGACGGGCTGATGGTGGTAAGAGGGCAGCAGGGATGGGGAGAAGGGAGCGTAACGAGGGGAAAGCAAAGGGCAGGGGGGGAGAAACCAAGCATAGGGGGGCGAGAAACGAGGGGCAGGGTGCGGATTGAGGAGGGGCAGGGAGTGGAGTGGGTTAGCGAGGGGAAGGAAGAGGCGTGCAGCAGAGGAGGGGAGGGGGGAGGCGAAGGTAAACGAGGGGAGGGCACGGGCGGGGAGGAGCGAATGGCGAGCGGTGGGTAACGGCGAGGGGGGCAGGGAGGGTCAAAAGAGGCGGCGAGGGAGCGGGCACGCGGAGGGTAGGGGCGGGGGGAGCGGATGGCATGAGGGGGCAGGGGGTGTGACTATGAAGGGGGGACCCGGGCAAGGGGTGTGTACCGGTCGGGGCACGGGATTGTCGTGGTACGATCATACCTCGGCTACTACGCCGGATCCCATCAGAACTCCGAAGCTAAGCGCCGGTGGGCGAGAGCAGTACTGGGCTGGGTGACCTCCCGGGAAGTCCTCGTGTTGTACCCATTTATGCCCCTTGCTCGGCACGTGCCGGGGAGGGGCAAGCGGGAAAAACAAAGGACGATTTTAGCGCGTCCGACTTTTTTATTTCCGTTTTTTTTGCCCGAACAACGAGTCAGCGGGGTGGGGGGCCCCCGGGGAGGCTTGCCCGCGCGAAGAAACGCCCCGTGCGCACCACCGTTGGGCGGTTGGAAGCCGCACACGGTCGCGGGGGTGGAGAGCGGAAACGGGCAGCCGGGGGAGGGTGGGGGCGGTTGGACGGGAGTGGGGTGTACGGGGGGCAGGGGAGTTGAGGGGGCAAGGGGAGGGGCAGCAACGGGCAGGGGCTGGGCCAGCTGAGGGCAAGGAAAAGGGGCGGGCAGAGGGTGAGCAGAGGGGCGAGCGATGCAAGGGATGCACCAGAGGGGGGGAATCCAGTTGAACGGAGGTGAGAGGTGAGGGGCGTGCGAGGGGGTGGAACAGGGGCAGGGAGGGGCAGAACGGGAGGATGTGGGTGGGGGGTGGGGGAGGGGAGTGTGTGTGTGTGTGTGTGTGCGAGAGAAAGAGAGAGAGAGAGAGAGAGAGAGGGAGAGGGGGGGGGGGGAGAAGGGTGGGAGGGGGGCTGGTGGTGGGGACGGGCTGATGGTGGTAAGAGGGCAGCAGGGATGGGGAGAAGGGAGCGTAACGAGGGGAAAGCAAAGGGCAGGGGGGGAGGAAGGGAGGGGCAGGGAGGGAAGAGGGTGAACGTACAAAGAGGGGAAACGAGGGGCATGGATGGTAGGAAACAAGGGCAGGGGTGCGGGAAATCAAGGGCAGGGAGGGGAGAAGCAATGGGTGCGGGGAGAACAAGGGAGGGGCAGAGGGGGTACAAGGTGATCTCAGGGAGGGAAGAAACGTGGGGCAGGGAGGGGAGAAACCAAAGACAGGGGCATGGGCAGGCGGGGGCAGGGAGGGAGCAAAGGAGAGGCACGGAGAAAGAAAGGGAGGTGCAGGGAGGGGAGAAACCGGGCGTGGGGGGGCGGAAAATGAGGGGCAGGGCGGGGAGGAGGGAGAGGCAGGGAGGGGAGAAGCTGAGCACACGGAGGGGGGAAAGGTGGGGCAGGGAGGTGGGAAGCCAAGGGCAAGTGGAGGAGAGTGGGGGGGCAGGGAGAGGGGGGAGGTGGGGAGCGGAGAAAGGCGGCGAGGGGCAGGGAGGGGAGAAACCAAGCGTAGGGGGGCGAGAAACGAGGGGCAGGGTGCGGATTGAGGAGGGGCAGGGAGTGGAGTGGGTTAGCGAGGGGAAGGAAGAGGCGTGCAGCAGAGGAGGGGAGGGGGGAGGCGAAGGTAAACGAGGGGAGGGCACGGGCGGGGAGGAGCGAATGGCGAGCGGTGGGTAACGGCGAGGGGGGCAGGGAGGGTCAAAAGAGGCGGCGAGGGAGCGGGCACGCGGAGGGTAGGGGCGGGGGGAGCGGATGGCATGAGGGGGCAGGGGGTGTGACTATGAAGGGGGGACCCGGGCAAGGGGTGTGTACCGGTCGGGGCACGGGATTGTCGTGGTACGATCATACCTCGGCTACTACGCCGGATCCCATCAGAACTCCGAAGCTAAGCGCCGGTGGGCGAGAGCAGTACTGGGCTGGGTGACCTCCCGGGAAGTCCTCGTGTTGTACCCATTTATGCCCCTTGCTCGGCACGTGCCGGGGAGGGGCAAGCGGGAAAAACAAAGGACGATTTTAGCGCGTCCGACTTTTTTATTTCCGTTTTTTTTGCCCGAACAACGAGTCAGCGGGGTGGGGGGCCCCCGGGGAGGCTTGCCCGCGCGAAGAAACGCCCCGTGCGCACCACCGTTGGGCGGTTGGAAGCCGCACACGGTCGCGGGGGTGGAGAGCGGAAACGGGCAGCCGGGGGAGGGTGGGGGCGGTTGGACGGGAGTGGGGTGTACGGGGGGCAGGGGAGTTGAGGGGGCAAGGGGAGGGGCAGCAACGGGCAGGGGCTGGGCCAGCTGAGGGCAAGGAAAAGGGGCGGGCAGAGGGTGAGCAGAGGGGCGAGCGATGCAAGGGATGCACCAGAGGGGGGGAATCCAGTTGAACGGAGGTGAGAGGTGAGGGGCGTGCGAGGGGGTGGAACAGGGGCAGGGAGGGGCAGAACGGGAGGATGTGGGTGGGGGGTGGGGGAGGGGAGTGTGTGTGTGTGTGTGTGTGCGAGAGAAAGAGAGAGAGAGAGAGAGAGAGAGGGAGAGGGGGGGGGGGGAGAAGGGTGGGAGGGGGGCTGGTGGTGGGGACGGGCTGATGGTGGTAAGAGGGCAGCAGGGATGGGGAGAAGGGAGCGTAACGAGGGGAAAGCAAAGGGCAGGGGGGGAGGAAGGGAGGGGCAGGGAGGGAAGAGGGTGAACGTACAAAGAGGGGAAACGAGGGGCATGGATGGTAGGAAACAAGGGCAGGGGTGCGGGAAATCAAGGGCAGGGAGGGGAGAAGCAATGGGTGCGGGGAGAACAAGGGAGGGGCAGAGGGGGTACAAGGTGATCTCAGGGAGGGAAGAAACGTGGGGCAGGGAGGGGAGAAACCAAAGACAGGGGCATGGGCAGGCGGGGGCAGGGAGGGAGCAAAGGAGAGGCACGGAGAAAGAAAGGGAGGTGCAGGGAGGGGAGAAACCGGGCGTGGGGGGGCGGAAAATGAGGGGCAGGGCGGGGAGGAGGGAGAGGCAGGGAGGGGAGAAGCTGAGCACACGGAGGGGGGAAAGGTGGGGCAGGGAGGTGGGAAGCCAAGGGCAAGTGGAGGAGAGTGGGGGGGCAGGGAGAGGGGGGAGGTGGGGAGCGGAGAAAGGCGGCGAGGGGCAGGGAGGGGAGAAACCAAGCGTAGGGGGGCGAGAAACGAGGGGCAGGGTGCGGATTGAGGAGGGGCAGGGAGTGGAGTGGGTTAGCGAGGGGAAGGAAGAGGCGTGCAGCAGAGGAGGGGAGGGGGGAGGCGAAGGTAAACGAGGGGAGGGCACGGGCGGGGAGGAGCGAATGGCGAGCGGTGGGTAACGGCGAGGGGGGCAGGGAGGGTCAAAAGAGGCGGCGAGGGAGCGGGCACGCGGAGGGTAGGGGCGGGGGGAGCGGATGGCATGAGGGGGCAGGGGGTGTGACTATGAAGGGGGGACCCGGGCAAGGGGTGTGTACCGGTCGGGGCACGGGATTGTCGTGGTACGATCATACCTCGGCTACTACGCCGGATCCCATCAGAACTCCGAAGCTAAGCGCCGGTGGGCGAGAGCAGTACTGGGCTGGGTGACCTCCCGGGAAGTCCTCGTGTTGTACCCATTTATGCCCCTTGCTCGGCACGTGCCGGGGAGGGGCAAGCGGGAAAAACAAAGGACGATTTTAGCGCGTCCGACTTTTTTATTTCCGTTTTTTTGCCCGAACAACGAGTCAGCGGGGTGGGGGGCCCCCGGGGAGGCTTGCCCGCGCGAAGAAACGCCCCGTGCGCACCACCGTTGGGCGGTTGGAAGCCGCACACGGTCGCGGGGGTGGAGAGCGGAAACGGGCAGCCGGGGGAGGGTGGGGGCGGTTGGACGGGAGTGGGGTGTACGGGGGGCAGGGGAGTTGAGGGGGCAAGGGGAGGGGCAGCAACGGGCAGGGGCTGGGCCAGCTGAGGGCAAGGAAAAGGGGCGGGCAGAGGGTGAGCAGAGGGGCGAGCGATGCAAGGGATGCACCAGAGGGGGGGAATCCAGTTGAACGGAGGTGAGAGGTGAGGGGCGTGCGAGGGGGTGGAACAGGGGCAGGGAGGGGCAGAACGGGAGGATGTGGGTGGGGGGTGGGGGAGGGGAGTGTGTGTGTGTGTGTGTGTGCGAGAGAAAGAGAGAGAGAGAGAGAGAGAGAGGGAGAGGGGGGGGGGGGAGAAGGGTGGGAGGGGGGCTGGTGGTGGGGACGGGCTGATGGTGGTAAGAGGGCAGCAGGGATGGGGAGAAGGGAGCGTAACGAGGGGAAAGCAAAGGGCAGGGGGGGAGGAAGGGAGGGGCAGGGAGGGAAGAGGGTGAACGTACAAAGAGGGGAAACGAGGGGCATGGATGGTAGGAAACAAGGGCAGGGGTGCGGGAAATCAAGGGCAGGGAGGGGAGAAGCAATGGGTGCGGGGAGAACAAGGGAGGGGCAGAGGGGGTACAAGGTGATCTCAGGGAGGGAAGAAACGTGGGGCAGGGAGGGGAGAAACCAAAGACAGGGGCATGGGCAGGCGGGGGCAGGGAGGGAGCAAAGGAGAGGCACGGAGAAAGAAAGGGAGGTGCAGGGAGGGGAGAAACCGGGCGTGGGGGGGCGGAAAATGAGGGGCAGGGCGGGGAGGAGGGAGAGGCAGGGAGGGGAGAAGCTGAGCACACGGAGGGGGGAAAGGTGGGGCAGGGAGGTGGGAAGCCAAGGGCAAGTGGAGGAGAGTGGGGGGGCAGGGAGAGGGGGGAGGTGGGGAGCGGAGAAAGGCGGCGAGGGGCAGGGAGGGGAGAAACCAAGCGTAGGGGGGCGAGAAACGAGGGGCAGGGTGCGGATTGAGGAGGGGCAGGGAGTGGAGTGGGTTAGCGAGGGGAAGGAAGAGGCGTGCAGCAGAGGAGGGGAGGGGGGAGGCGAAGGTAAACGAGGGGAGGGCACGGGCGGGGAGGAGCGAATGGCGAGCGGTGGGTAACGGCGAGGGGGGCAGGGAGGGTCAAAAGAGGCGGCGAGGGAGCGGGCACGCGGAGGGTAGGGGCGGGGGGAGCGGATGGCATGAGGGGGCAGGGGGTGTGACTATGAAGGGGGGACCCGGGCAAGGGGTGTGTACCGGTCGGGGCACGGGATTGTCGTGGTACGATCATACCTCGGCTACTACGCCGGATCCCATCAGAACTCCGAAGCTAAGCGCCGGTGGGCGAGAGCAGTACTGGGCTGGGTGACCTCCCGGGAAGTCCTCGTGTTGTACCCATTTATGCCCCTTGCTCGGCACGTGCCGGGGAGGGGCAAGCGGGAAAAACAAAGGACGATTTTAGCGCGTCCGACTTTTTTATTTCCGTTTTTTTTGCCCGAACAACGAGTCAGCGGGGTGGGGGGCCCCCGGGGAGGCTTGCCCGCGCGAAGAAACGCCCCGTGCGCACCACCGTTGGGCGGTTGGAAGCCGCACACGGTCGCGGGGGTGGAGAGCGGAAACGGGCAGCCGGGGGAGGGTGGGGGCGGTTGGACGGGAGTGGGGTGTACGGGGGGCAGGGGAGTTGAGGGGGCAAGGGGAGGGGCAGCAACGGGCAGGGGCTGGGCCAGCTGAGGGCAAGGAAAAGGGGCGGGCAGAGGGTGAGCAGAGGGGCGAGCGATGCAAGGGATGCACCAGAGGGGGGGAATCCAGTTGAACGGAGGTGAGAGGTGAGGGGCGTGCGAGGGGGTGGAACAGGGGCAGGGAGGGGCAGAACGGGAGGATGTGGGTGGGGGGGTGGGGGAGGGGAGTGTGTGTGTGTGTGTGTGTGCGAGAGAAAGAGAGAGAGAGAGAGAGAGAGAGGGAGAGGGGGGGGGGGGAGAAGGGTGGGAGGGGGGCTGGTGGTGGGGACGGGCTGATGGTGGTAAGAGGGCAGCAGGGATGGGGAGAAGGGAGCGTAACGAGGGGAAAGCAAAGGGCAGGGGGGGAGGAAGGGAGGGGCAGGGAGGGAAGAGGGTGAACGTACAAAGAGGGGAAACGAGGGGCATGGATGGTAGGAAACAAGGGCAGGGGTGCGGGAAATCAAGGGCAGGGAGGGGAGAAGCAATGGGTGCGGGGAGAACAAGGGAGGGGCAGAGGGGGTACAAGGTGATCTCAGGGAGGGAAGAAACGTGGGGCAGGGAGGGGAGAAACCAAAGACAGGGGCATGGGCAGGCGGGGGCAGGGAGGGAGCAAAGGAGAGGCACGGAGAAAGAAAGGGAGGTGCAGGGAGGGGAGAAACCGGGCGTGGGGGGGCGGAAAATGAGGGGCAGGGCGGGGAGGAGGGAGAGGCAGGGAGGGGAGAAGCTGAGCACACGGAGGGGGGAAAGGTGGGGCAGGGAGGTGGGAAGCCAAGGGCAAGTGGAGGAGAGTGGGGGGGCAGGGAGAGGGGGGAGGTGGGGAGCGGAGAAAGGCGGCGAGGGGCAGGGAGGGGAGAAACCAAGCGTAGGGGGGCGAGAAACGAGGGGCAGGGTGCGGATTGAGGAGGGGCAGGGAGTGGAGTGGGTTAGCGAGGGGAAGGAAGAGGCGTGCAGCAGAGGAGGGGAGGGGGGAGGCGAAGGTAAACGAGGGGAGGGCACGGGCGGGGAGGAGCGAATGGCGAGCGGTGGGTAACGGCGAGGGGGGCAGGGAGGGTCAAAAGAGGCGGCGAGGGAGCGGGCACGCGGAGGGTAGGGGCGGGGGGAGCGGATGGCATGAGGGGGCAGGGGGTGTGACTATGAAGGGGGGACCCGGGCAAGGGGTGTGTACCGGTCGGGGCACGGGATTGTCGTGGTACGATCATACCTCGGCTACTACGCCGGATCCCATCAGAACTCCGAAGCTAAGCGCCGGTGGGCGAGAGCAGTACTGGGCTGGGTGACCTCCCGGGAAGTCCTCGTGTTGTACCCATTTATGCCCCTTGCTCGGCACGTGCCGGGGAGGGGCAAGCGGGAAAAACAAAGGACGATTTTAGCGCGTCCGACTTTTTTATTTCCGTTTTTTTTGCCCGAACAACGAGTCAGCGGGGTGGGGGGCCCCCGGGGAGGCTTGCCCGCGCGAAGAAACGCCCCGTGCGCACCACCGTTGGGCGGTTGGAAGCCGCACACGGTCGCGGGGGTGGAGAGCGGAAACGGGCAGCCGGGGGAGGGTGGGGGCGGTTGGACGGGAGTGGGGTGTACGGGGGGCAGGGGAGTTGAGGGGGCAAGGGGAGGGGCAGCAACGGGCAGGGGCTGGGCCAGCTGAGGGCAAGGAAAAGGGGCGGGCAGAGGGTGAGCAGAGGGGCGAGCGATGCAAGGGATGCACCAGAGGGGGGGAATCCAGTTGAACGGAGGTGAGAGGTGAGGGGCGTGCGAGGGGGTGGAACAGGGGCAGGGAGGGGCAGAACGGGAGGATGTGGGTGGGGGGTGGGGGAGGGGAGTGTGTGTGTGTGTGTGTGTGCGAGAGAAAGAGAGAGAGAGAGAGAGAGAGTGAGAGAGATAGAGAGAGAGAGAGAGAGAGGGAGAGGGGGGGGGGGAGAAGGGTGGGAGGGGGGCTGGTGGTGGGGACGGGCTGATGGTGGTAAGAGGGCAGCAGGGATGGGGAGAAGGGAGCGTAACGAGGGGAAAGCAAAGGGCAGGGGGGGAGAAACCAAGCATAGGGGGGCGAGAAACGAGGGGCAGGGTGCGGATTGAGGAGGGGCAGGGAGTGGAGTGGGTTAGCGAGGGGAAGGAAGAGGCGTGCAGCAGAGGAGGGGAGGGGGGAGGCGAAGGTAAACGAGGGGAGGGCACGGGCGGGGAGGAGCGAATGGCGAGCGGTGGGTAACGGCGAGGGGGGCAGGGAGGGTCAAAAGAGGCGGCGAGGGAGCGGGCACGCGGAGGGTAGGGGCGGGGGGAGCGGATGGCATGAGGGGGCAGGGGGTGTGACTATGAAGGGGGGACCCGGGCAAGGGGTGTGTACCGGTCGGGGCACGGGATTGTCGTGGTACGATCATACCTCGGCTACTACGCCGGATCCCATCAGAACTCCGAAGCTAAGCGCCGGTGGGCGAGAGCAGTACTGGGCTGGGTGACCTCCCGGGAAGTCCTCGTGTTGTACCCATTTATGCCCCTTGCTCGGCACGTGCCGGGGAGGGGCAAGCGGGAAAAACAAAGGACGATTTTAGCGCGTCCGACTTTTTTATTTCCGTTTTTTTTGCCCGAACAACGAGTCAGCGGGGTGGGGGGCCCCCGGGGAGGCTTGCCCGCGCGAAGAAACGCCCCGTGCGCACCACCGTTGGGCGGTTGGAAGCCGCACACGGTCGCGGGGGTGGAGAGCGGAAACGGGCAGCCGGGGGAGGGTGGGGGCGGTTGGACGGGAGTGGGGTGTACGGGGGGCAGGGGAGTTGAGGGGGCAAGGGGAGGGGCAGCAACGGGCAGGGGCTGGGCCAGCTGAGGGCAAGGAAAAGGGGCGGGCAGAGGGTGAGCAGAGGGGCGAGCGATGCAAGGGATGCACCAGAGGGGGGGAATCCAGTTGAACGGAGGTGAGAGGTGAGGGGCGTGCGAGGGGGTGGAACAGGGGCAGGGAGGGGCAGAACGGGAGGATGTGGGTGGGGGGTGGGGGAGGGGAGTGTGTGTGTGTGTGTGTGTGCGAGAGAAAGAGAGAGAGAGAGAGAGAGAGAGGGAGAGGGGGGGGGGGAGAAGGGTGGGAGGGGGGCTGGTGGTGGGGACGGGCTGATGGTGGTAAGAGGGCAGCAGGGATGGGGAGAAGGGAGCGTAACGAGGGGAAAGCAAAGGGCAGGGGGGGAGGAAGGGAGGGGCAGGGAGGGAAGAGGGTGAACGTACAAAGAGGGGAAACGAGGGGCATGGATGGTAGGAAACAAGGGCAGGGGTGCGGGAAATCAAGGGCAGGGAGGGGAGAAGCAATGGGTGCGGGGAGAACAAGGGAGGGGCAGAGGGGGTACAAGGTGATCTCAGGGAGGGAAGAAACGTGGGGCAGGGAGGGGAGAAACCAAAGACAGGGGCATGGGCAGGCGGGGGCAGGGAGGGAGCAAAGGAGAGGCACGGAGAAAGAAAGGGAGGTGCAGGGAGGGGAGAAACCGGGCGTGGGGGGGCGGAAAATGAGGGGCAGGGCGGGGAGGAGGGAGAGGCAGGGAGGGGAGAAGCTGAGCACACGGAGGGGGGAAAGGTGGGGCAGGGAGGTGGGAAGCCAAGGGCAAGTGGAGGAGAGTGGGGGGGCAGGGAGAGGGGGGAGGTGGGGAGCGGAGAAAGGCGGCGAGGGGCAGGGAGGGGAGAAACCAAGCGTAGGGGGGCGAGAAACGAGGGGCAGGGTGCGGATTGAGGAGGGGCAGGGAGTGGAGTGGGTTAGCGAGGGGAAGGAAGAGGCGTGCAGCAGAGGAGGGGAGGGGGGAGGCGAAGGTAAACGAGGGGAGGGCACGGGCGGGGAGGAGCGAATGGCGAGCGGTGGGTAACGGCGAGGGGGGCAGGGAGGGTCAAAAGAGGCGGCGAGGGAGCGGGCACGCGGAGGGTAGGGGCGGGGGGAGCGGATGGCATGAGGGGGCAGGGGGTGTGACTATGAAGGGGGGACCCGGGCAAGGGGTGTGTACCGGTCGGGGCACGGGATTGTCGTGGTACGATCATACCTCGGCTACTACGCCGGATCCCATCAGAACTCCGAAGCTAAGCGCCGGTGGGCGAGAGCAGTACTGGGCTGGGTGACCTCCCGGGAAGTCCTCGTGTTGTACCCATTTATGCCCCTTGCTCGGCACGTGCCGGGGAGGGGCAAGCGGGAAAAACAAAGGACGATTTTAGCGCGTCCGACTTTTTTATTTCCGTTTTTTTTGCCCGAACAACGAGTCAGCGGGGTGGGGGGCCCCCGGGGAGGCTTGCCCGCGCGAAGAAACGCCCCGTGCGCACCACCGTTGGGCGGTTGGAAGCCGCACACGGTCGCGGGGGTGGAGAGCGGAAACGGGCAGCCGGGGGAGGGTGGGGGCGGTTGGACGGGAGTGGGGTGTACGGGGGGCAGGGGAGTTGAGGGGGCAAGGGGAGGGGCAGCAACGGGCAGGGGCTGGGCCAGCTGAGGGCAAGGAAAAGGGGCGGGCAGAGGGTGAGCAGAGGGGCGAGCGATGCAAGGGATGCACCAGAGGGGGGGAATCCAGTTGAACGGAGGTGAGAGGTGAGGGGCGTGCGAGGGGGTGGAACAGGGGCAGGGAGGGGCAGAACGGGAGGATGTGGGTGGGGGGTGGGGGAGGGGAGTGTGTGTGTGTGTGTGTGTGCGAGAGAAAGAGAGAGAGAGAGAGAGAGAGAGAGGGAGAGGGGGGGGGGGGGAGAAGGGTGGGAGGGGGGCTGGTGGTGGGGACGGGCTGATGGTGGTAAGAGGGCAGCAGGGATGGGGAGAAGGGAGCGTAACGAGGGGAAAGCAAAGGGCAGGGGGGGAGGAAGGGAGGGGCAGGGAGGGAAGAGGGTGAACGTACAAAGAGGGGAAACGAGGGGCATGGATGGTAGGAAACAAGGGCAGGGGTGCGGGAAATCAAGGGCAGGGAGGGGAGAAGCAATGGGTGCGGGGAGAACAAGGGAGGGGCAGAGGGGGTACAAGGTGATCTCAGGGAGGGAAGAAACGTGGGGCAGGGAGGGGAGAAACCAAAGACAGGGGCATGGGCAGGCGGGGGCAGGGAGGGAGCAAAGGAGAGGCACGGAGAAAGAAAGGGAGGTGCAGGGAGGGGAGAAACCGGGCGTGGGGGGGCGGAAAATGAGGGGCAGGGCGGGGAGGAGGGAGAGGCAGGGAGGGGAGAAGCTGAGCACACGGAGGGGGGAAAGGTGGGGCAGGGAGGTGGGAAGCCAAGGGCAAGTGGAGGAGAGTGGGGGGGCAGGGAGAGGGGGGAGGTGGGGAGCGGAGAAAGGCGGCGAGGGGCAGGGAGGGGAGAAACCAAGCGTAGGGGGGCGAGAAACGAGGGGCAGGGTGCGGATTGAGGAGGGGCAGGGAGTGGAGTGGGTTAGCGAGGGGAAGGAAGAGGCGTGCAGCAGAGGAGGGGAGGGGGGAGGCGAAGGTAAACGAGGGGAGGGCACGGGCGGGGAGGAGCGAATGGCGAGCGGTGGGTAACGGCGAGGGGGGCAGGGAGGGTCAAAAGAGGCGGCGAGGGAGCGGGCACGCGGAGGGTAGGGGCGGGGGGAGCGGATGGCATGAGGGGGCAGGGGGTGTGACTATGAAGGGGGGACCCGGGCAAGGGGTGTGTACCGGTCGGGGCACGGGATTGTCGTGGTACGATCATACCTCGGCTACTACGCCGGATCCCATCAGAACTCCGAAGCTAAGCGCCGGTGGGCGAGAGCAGTACTGGGCTGGGTGACCTCCCGGGAAGTCCTCGTGTTGTACCCATTTATGCCCCTTGCTCGGCACGTGCCGGGGAGGGGCAAGCGGGAAAAACAAAGGACGATTTTAGCGCGTCCGACTTTTTTATTTCCGTTTTTTTTGCCCGAACAACGAGTCAGCGGGGTGGGGGGCCCCCGGGGAGGCTTGCCCGCGCGAAGAAACGCCCCGTGCGCACCACCGTTGGGCGGTTGGAAGCCGCACACGGTCGCGGGGGTGGAGAGCGGAAACGGGCAGCCGGGGGAGGGTGGGGGCGGTTGGACGGGAGTGGGGTGTACGGGGGGCAGGGGAGTTGAGGGGGCAAGGGGAGGGGCAGCAACGGGCAGGGGCTGGGCCAGCTGAGGGCAAGGAAAAGGGGCGGGCAGAGGGTGAGCAGAGGGGCGAGCGATGCAAGGGATGCACCAGAGGGGGGGAATCCAGTTGAACGGAGGTGAGAGGTGAGGGGCGTGCGAGGGGGTGGAACAGGGGCAGGGAGGGGCAGAACGGGAGGATGTGGGTGGGGGGTGGGGGAGGGGAGTGTGTGTGTGTGTGTGTGTGCGAGAGAAAGAGAGAGAGAGAGAGAGAGAGAGAGGGAGAGGGGGGGGGGGAGAAGGGTGGGAGGGGGGCTGGTGGTGGGGACGGGCTGATGGTGGTAAGAGGGCAGCAGGGATGGGGAGAAGGGAGCGTAACGAGGGGAAAGCAAAGGGCAGGGGGGGAGGAAGGGAGGGGCAGGGAGGGAAGAGGGTGAACGTACAAAGAGGGGAAACGAGGGGCATGGATGGTAGGAAACAAGGGCAGGGGTGCGGGAAATCAAGGGCAGGGAGGGGAGAAGCAATGGGTGCGGGGAGAACAAGGGAGGGGCAGAGGGGGTACAAGGTGATCTCAGGGAGGGAAGAAACGTGGGGCAGGGAGGGGAGAAACCAAAGACAGGGGCATGGGCAGGCGGGGGCAGGGAGGGAGCAAAGGAGAGGCACGGAGAAAGAAAGGGAGGTGCAGGGAGGGGAGAAACCGGGCGTGGGGGGGCGGAAAATGAGGGGCAGGGCGGGGAGGAGGGAGAGGCAGGGAGGGGAGAAGCTGAGCACACGGAGGGGGGAAAGGTGGGGCAGGGAGGTGGGAAGCCAAGGGCAAGTGGAGGAGAGTGGGGGGGCAGGGAGAGGGGGGAGGTGGGGAGCGGAGAAAGGCGGCGAGGGGCAGGGAGGGGAGAAACCAAGCGTAGGGGGGCGAGAAACGAGGGGCAGGGTGCGGATTGAGGAGGGGCAGGGAGTGGAGTGGGTTAGCGAGGGGAAGGAAGAGGCGTGCAGCAGAGGAGGGGAGGGGGGAGGCGAAGGTAAACGAGGGGAGGGCACGGGCGGGGAGGAGCGAATGGCGAGCGGTGGGTAACGGCGAGGGGGGCAGGGAGGGTCAAAAGAGGCGGCGAGGGAGCGGGCACGCGGAGGGTAGGGGCGGGGGGAGCGGATGGCATGAGGGGGCAGGGGGTGTGACTATGAAGGGGGGACCCGGGCAAGGGGTGTGTACCGGTCGGGGCACGGGATTGTCGTGGTACGATCATACCTCGGCTACTACGCCGGATCCCATCAGAACTCCGAAGCTAAGCGCCGGTGGGCGAGAGCAGTACTGGGCTGGGTGACCTCCCGGGAAGTCCTCGTGTTGTACCCATTTATGCCCCTTGCTCGGCACGTGCCGGGGAGGGGCAAGCGGGAAAAACAAAGGACGATTTTAGCGCGTCCGACTTTTTTATTTCCGTTTTTTTTGCCCGAACAACGAGTCAGCGGGGTGGGGGGCCCCCGGGGAGGCTTGCCCGCGCGAAGAAACGCCCCGTGCGCACCACCGTTGGGCGGTTGGAAGCCGCACACGGTCGCGGGGGTGGAGAGCGGAAACGGGCAGCCGGGGGAGGGTGGGGGCGGTTGGACGGGAGTGGGGTGTACGGGGGGCAGGGGAGTTGAGGGGGCAAGGGGAGGGGCAGCAACGGGCAGGGGCTGGGCCAGCTGAGGGCAAGGAAAAGGGGCGGGCAGAGGGTGAGCAGAGGGGCGAGCGATGCAAGGGATGCACCAGAGGGGGGGAATCCAGTTGAACGGAGGTGAGAGGTGAGGGGCGTGCGAGGGGGTGGAACAGGGGCAGGGAGGGGCAGAACGGGAGGATGTGGGTGGGGGGTGGGGGAGGGGAGTGTGTGTGTGTGTGTGTGTGCGAGAGAAAGAGAGAGAGAGAGAGAGAGAGTGAGAGAGATAGAGAGAGAGAGAGAGAGAGGGAGAGGGGGGGGGGGAGAAGGGTGGGAGGGGGGCTGGTGGTGGGGACGGGCTGATGGTGGTAAGAGGGCAGCAGGGATGGGGAGAAGGGAGCGTAACGAGGGGAAAGCAAAGGGCAGGGGGGGAGAAACCAAGCATAGGGGGGCGAGAAACGAGGGGCAGGGTGCGGATTGAGGAGGGGCAGGGAGTGGAGTGGGTTAGCGAGGGGAAGGAAGAGGCGTGCAGCAGAGGAGGGGAGGGGGGAGGCGAAGGTAAACGAGGGGAGGGCACGGGCGGGGAGGAGCGAATGGCGAGCGGTGGGTAACGGCGAGGGGGGCAGGGAGGGTCAAAAGAGGCGGCGAGGGAGCGGGCACGCGGAGGGTAGGGGCGGGGGGAGCGGATGGCATGAGGGGGCAGGGGGTGTGACTATGAAGGGGGGACCCGGGCAAGGGGTGTGTACCGGTCGGGGCACGGGATTGTCGTGGTACGATCATACCTCGGCTACTACGCCGGATCCCATCAGAACTCCGAAGCTAAGCGCCGGTGGGCGAGAGCAGTACTGGGCTGGGTGACCTCCCGGGAAGTCCTCGTGTTGTACCCATTTATGCCCCTTGCTCGGCACGTGCCGGGGAGGGGCAAGCGGGAAAAACAAAGGACGATTTTAGCGCGTCCGACTTTTTTATTTCCGTTTTTTTTGCCCGAACAACGAGTCAGCGGGGTGGGGGGCCCCCGGGGAGGCTTGCCCGCGCGAAGAAACGCCCCGTGCGCACCACCGTTGGGCGGTTGGAAGCCGCACACGGTCGCGGGGGTGGAGAGCGGAAACGGGCAGCCGGGGGAGGGTGGGGGCGGTTGGACGGGAGTGGGGTGTACGGGGGGCAGGGGAGTTGAGGGGGCAAGGGGAGGGGCAGCAACGGGCAGGGGCTGGGCCAGCTGAGGGCAAGGAAAAGGGGCGGGCAGAGGGTGAGCAGAGGGGCGAGCGATGCAAGGGATGCACCAGAGGGGGGGAATCCAGTTGAACGGAGGTGAGAGGTGAGGGGCGTGCGAGGGGGTGGAACAGGGGCAGGGAGGGGCAGAACGGGAGGATGTGGGTGGGGGGTGGGGGAGGGGAGTGTGTGTGTGTGTGTGTGTGCGAGAGAAAGAGAGAGAGAGAGAGAGAGAGAGAGGGAGAGGGGGGGGGGGGAGAAGGGTGGGAGGGGGGCTGGTGGTGGGGACGGGCTGATGGTGGTAAGAGGGCAGCAGGGATGGGGAGAAGGGAGCGTAACGAGGGGAAAGCAAAGGGCAGGGGGGGAGGAAGGGAGGGGCAGGGAGGGAAGAGGGTGAACGTACAAAGAGGGGAAACGAGGGGCATGGATGGTAGGAAACAAGGGCAGGGGTGCGGGAAATCAAGGGCAGGGAGGGGAGAAGCAATGGGTGCGGGGAGAACAAGGGAGGGGCAGAGGGGGTACAAGGTGATCTCAGGGAGGGAAGAAACGTGGGGCAGGGAGGGGAGAAACCAAAGACAGGGGCATGGGCAGGCGGGGGCAGGGAGGGAGCAAAGGAGAGGCACGGAGAAAGAAAGGGAGGTGCAGGGAGGGGAGAAACCGGGCGTGGGGGGGCGGAAAATGAGGGGCAGGGCGGGGAGGAGGGAGAGGCAGGGAGGGGAGAAGCTGAGCACACGGAGGGGGGAAAGGTGGGGCAGGGAGGTGGGAAGCCAAGGGCAAGTGGAGGAGAGTGGGGGGGCAGGGAGAGGGGGGAGGTGGGGAGCGGAGAAAGGCGGCGAGGGGCAGGGAGGGGAGAAACCAAGCGTAGGGGGGCGAGAAACGAGGGGCAGGGTGCGGATTGAGGAGGGGCAGGGAGTGGAGTGGGTTAGCGAGGGGAAGGAAGAGGCGTGCAGCAGAGGAGGGGAGGGGGGAGGCGAAGGTAAACGAGGGGAGGGCACGGGCGGGGAGGAGCGAATGGCGAGCGGTGGGTAACGGCGAGGGGGGCAGGGAGGGTCAAAAGAGGCGGCGAGGGAGCGGGCACGCGGAGGGTAGGGGCGGGGGGAGCGGATGGCATGAGGGGGCAGGGGGTGTGACTATGAAGGGGGGACCCGGGCAAGGGGTGTGTACCGGTCGGGGCACGGGATTGTCGTGGTACGATCATACCTCGGCTACTACGCCGGATCCCATCAGAACTCCGAAGCTAAGCGCCGGTGGGCGAGAGCAGTACTGGGCTGGGTGACCTCCCGGGAAGTCCTCGTGTTGTACCCATTTATGCCCCTTGCTCGGCACGTGCCGGGGAGGGGCAAGCGGGAAAAACAAAGGACGATTTTAGCGCGTCCGACTTTTTTATTTCCGTTTTTTTGCCCCGAACAACGAGTCAGCGGGGTGGGGGGCCCCCGGGGAGGCTTGCCCGCGCGAAGAAACGCCCCGTGCGCACCACCGTTGGGCGGTTGGAAGCCGCACACGGTCGCGGGGGTGGAGAGCGGAAACGGGCAGCCGGGGGAGGGTGGGGGCGGTTGGACGGGAGTGGGGTGTACGGGGGGCAGGGGAGTTGAGGGGGCAAGGGGAGGGGCAGCAACGGGCAGGGGCTGGGCCAGCTGAGGGCAAGGAAAAGGGGCGGGCAGAGGGTGAGCAGAGGGGCGAGCGATGCAAGGGATGCACCAGAGGGGGGGAATCCAGTTGAACGGAGGTGAGAGGTGAGGGGCGTGCGAGGGGGTGGAACAGGGGCAGGGAGGGGCAGAACGGGAGGATGTGGGTGGGGGGTGGGGGAGGGGAGTGTGTGTGTGTGTGTGTGTGCGAGAGAAAGAGAGAGAGAGAGAGAGAGAGAGAGGGAGAGGGGGGGGGGGAGAAGGGTGGGAGGGGGGCTGGTGGTGGGGACGGGCTGATGGTGGTAAGAGGGCAGCAGGGATGGGGAGAAGGGAGCGTAACGAGGGGAAAGCAAAGGGCAGGGGGGGAGGAAGGGAGGGGCAGGGAGGGAAGAGGGTGAACGTACAAAGAGGGGAAACGAGGGGCATGGATGGTAGGAAACAAGGGCAGGGGTGCGGGAAATCAAGGGCAGGGAGGGGAGAAGCAATGGGTGCGGGGAGAACAAGGGAGGGGCAGAGGGGGTACAAGGTGATCTCAGGGAGGGAAGAAACGTGGGGCAGGGAGGGGAGAAACCAAAGACAGGGGCATGGGCAGGCGGGGGCAGGGAGGGAGCAAAGGAGAGGCACGGAGAAAGAAAGGGAGGTGCAGGGAGGGGAGAAACCGGGCGTGGGGGGGCGGAAAATGAGGGGCAGGGCGGGGAGGAGGGAGAGGCAGGGAGGGGAGAAGCTGAGCACACGGAGGGGGGAAAGGTGGGGCAGGGAGGTGGGAAGCCAAGGGCAAGTGGAGGAGAGTGGGGGGGCAGGGAGAGGGGGGAGGTGGGGAGCGGAGAAAGGCGGCGAGGGGCAGGGAGGGGAGAAACCAAGCGTAGGGGGGCGAGAAACGAGGGGCAGGGTGCGGATTGAGGAGGGGCAGGGAGTGGAGTGGGTTAGCGAGGGGAAGGAAGAGGCGTGCAGCAGAGGAGGGGAGGGGGGAGGCGAAGGTAAACGAGGGGAGGGCACGGGCGGGGAGGAGCGAATGGCGAGCGGTGGGTAACGGCGAGGGGGGCAGGGAGGGTCAAAAGAGGCGGCGAGGGAGCGGGCACGCGGAGGGTAGGGGCGGGGGGAGCGGATGGCATGAGGGGGCAGGGGGTGTGACTATGAAGGGGGGACCCGGGCAAGGGGTGTGTACCGGTCGGGGCACGGGATTGTCGTGGTACGATCATACCTCGGCTACTACGCCGGATCCCATCAGAACTCCGAAGCTAAGCGCCGGTGGGCGAGAGCAGTACTGGGCTGGGTGACCTCCCGGGAAGTCCTCGTGTTGTACCCATTTATGCCCCTTGCTCGGCACGTGCCGGGGAGGGGCAAGCGGGAAAAACAAAGGACGATTTTAGCGCGTCCGACTTTTTTATTTCCGTTTTTTTTGCCCGAACAACGAGTCAGCGGGGTGGGGGGCCCCCGGGGAGGCTTGCCCGCGCGAAGAAACGCCCCGTGCGCACCACCGTTGGGCGGTTGGAAGCCGCACACGGTCGCGGGGGTGGAGAGCGGAAACGGGCAGCCGGGGGAGGGTGGGGGCGGTTGGACGGGAGTGGGGTGTACGGGGGGCAGGGGAGTTGAGGGGGCAAGGGGAGGGGCAGCAACGGGCAGGGGCTGGGCCAGCTGAGGGCAAGGAAAAGGGGCGGGCAGAGGGTGAGCAGAGGGGCGAGCGATGCAAGGGATGCACCAGAGGGGGGGAATCCAGTTGAACGGAGGTGAGAGGTGAGGGGCGTGCGAGGGGGTGGAACAGGGGCAGGGAGGGGCAGAACGGGAGGATGTGGGTGGGGGGTGGGGGAGGGGAGTGTGTGTGTGTGTGTGTGTGCGAGAGAAAGAGAGAGAGAGAGAGAGAGAGTGAGAGAGATAGAGAGAGAGAGAGAGAGAGGGAGAGGGGGGGGGGGAGAAGGGTGGGAGGGGGGCTGGTGGTGGGGACGGGCTGATGGTGGTAAGAGGGCAGCAGGGATGGGGAGAAGGGAGCGTAACGAGGGGAAAGCAAAGGGCAGGGGGGGAGAAACCAAGCATAGGGGGGCGAGAAACGAGGGGCAGGGTGCGGATTGAGGAGGGGCAGGGAGTGGAGTGGGTTAGCGAGGGGAAGGAAGAGGCGTGCAGCAGAGGAGGGGAGGGGGGAGGCGAAGGTAAACGAGGGGAGGGCACGGGCGGGGAGGAGCGAATGGCGAGCGGTGGGTAACGGCGAGGGGGGCAGGGAGGGTCAAAAGAGGCGGCGAGGGAGCGGGCACGCGGAGGGTAGGGGCGGGGGGAGCGGATGGCATGAGGGGGCAGGGGGTGTGACTATGAAGGGGGGACCCGGGCAAGGGGTGTGTACCGGTCGGGGCACGGATTGTCGTGGTACGATCATACCTCGGCTACTACGCCGGATCCCATCAGAACTCCGAAGCTAAGCGCCGGTGGGCGAGAGCAGTACTGGGCTGGGTGACCTCCCGGGAAGTCCTCGTGTTGTACCCATTTATGCCCCTTGCTCGGCACGTGCCGGGGAGGGGCAAGCGGGAAAAACAAAGGACGATTTTAGCGCGTCCGACTTTTTTATTTCCGTTTTTTTGCTCCGAACAACGAGTCAGCGGGGTGGGGGGCCCCCGGGGAGGCTTGCCCGCGCGAAGAAACGCCCCGTGCGCACCACCGTTGGGCGGTTGGAAGCCGCACACGGTCGCGGGGGTGGAGAGCGGAAACGGGCAGCCGGGGGAGGGTGGGGGCGGTTGGACGGGAGTGGGGTGTACGGGGGGCAGGGGAGTTGAGGGGGCAAGGGGAGGGGCAGCAACGGGCAGGGGCTGGGCCAGCTGAGGGCAAGGAAAAGGGGCGGGCAGAGGGTGAGCAGAGGGGCGAGCGATGCAAGGGATGCACCAGAGGGGGGGAATCCAGTTGAACGGAGGTGAGAGGTGAGGGGCGTGCGAGGGGGGGAAACAGGGGCAGGGAGGGGCAGAACGGGAGGATGTGGGTGGGGGGTGGGGGAGGGGAGTGTGTGTGTGTGTGTGTGTGCGAGAGAAAGAGAGAGAGAGAGAGAGAGAGAGGGAGAGGGGGGGGGGGGAGAAGGGTGGGAGGGGGGCTGGTGGTGGGGACGGGCTGATGGTGGTAAGAGGGCAGCAGGGATGGGGAGAAGGGAGCGTAACGAGGGGAAAGCAAAGGGCAGGGGGGGAGGAAGGGAGGGGCAGGGAGGGAAGAGGGTGAACGTACAAAGAGGGGAAACGAGGGGCATGGATGGTAGGAAACAAGGGCAGGGGTGCGGGAAATCAAGGGCAGGGAGGGGAGAAGCAATGGGTGCGGGGAGAACAAGGGAGGGGCAGAGGGGGTACAAGGTGATCTCAGGGAGGGAAGAAACGTGGGGCAGGGAGGGGAGAAACCAAAGACAGGGGCATGGGCAGGCGGGGGCAGGGAGGGAGCAAAGGAGAGGCACGGAGAAAGAAAGGGAGGTGCAGGGAGGGGAGAAAACCGGGCGTGGGGGGGCGGAAAATGAGGGGCAGGGCGGGGAGGAGGGAGAGGCAGGGAGGGAGAAGCTGAGCACACGGAGGGGGGAAAGGTGGGGCAGGGAGGTGGGAAGCCAAGGGCAAGTGGAGGAGAGTGGGGGGGCAGGGAGAGGGGGGAGGTGGGGAGCGGAGAAAGGCGGCGAGGGGCAGGGAGGGGAGAAACCAAGCGTAGGGGGGCGAGAAACGAGGGGCAGGGTGCGGATTGAGGAGGGGCAGGGAGTGGAGTGGTTAGCGAGGGGAAGGAAGAGGCGTGCAGCAGAGGAGGGGAGGGGGGAGGCGAAGGTAAACGAGGGGAGGGCACGGGCGGGGAGGAGCGAATGGCGAGCGGTGGGTAACGGCGAGGGGGGCAGGGAGGGTCAAAGAGGCGGCGAGGGAGCGGGGCACGCGGAGGGTAGGGGCGGGGGGAGCGGATGGCATGAGGGGGCAGGGGGTGTGACTATGAAGGGGGGACCCGGGCAAGGGGGTGTGTACCGGTCGGGTGCACGGGGATTGCTCGTGGTACGATCATACCTCGGCTACTACGCCGGATCCCATCAGAACTCCGAAGCTAAGCGCCGGTGGGCGAGAGCAGTACTGGCTGGGTGACCTCCCGGGAAGTCCTCGTGTTGTACCCATTTATGCCCCTGCTCGGCACGTGCCGGGGAGGGGCAAGCGGAAAAAAGAAAGGACGATTTTAGCGCGTCCGACTTTTTTATTCCGTTTTTTTGCCCCGAACAACGAGTCAGCGGGGTGGGGGGCCCCCGGGGAGGCTTGCCCGCGCGAAGAAACGCCCCGTGCGCACCACCGTTGGGCGGTTGGAAGCCGCACACGGTCGCGGGGGTGGAGAGCGGAAACGGGCAGCCGGGGGAGGGTGGGGGCGGTTGGACGGGAGTGGGG